GAAAGACATTACCTTGTTAAATGTTTTTCTAACAACCAACTCAGAAACTCAATATTTTACATCAGCTGCTTCAAAGCATCTTTTTAGGTTGTAAGATGAATAATTTTAACCTTCAAAAACAATCTTAGTTCGTCGTTTATATTGTTCATTGAGCTCTGATAAAACGTCATAGGATAAGGTTTTTAAGTATAATAAAAATAATACTTTTGGTTGAAACTTGATTAAATTACCTAAAAGTACTTTAAATCATTAGAGTTTTTTAAAATTATCAGTTGATATGTTTCGTCCTCTAGAAATTCATGCGCATTTCTAAATAGAATGTGTGGTATTAAAACTATAGCAAAGCTTGTAAAACAGCCCGCATAAATGGATGTAATAAAAAATGCTGTCAGATAAAGCGATAGCCTTGCCATTTTTGAAGATACGGAATTGATAACTGGTAACAATACCGTAGAAAAGCTGGTAAAACATCCAGGGTACAGCGAGGTCGTTAGAAATCAGATAAAAATAGTGACCCTTGTACCACAATAATATGAATGCAAACTGTGTTAGCAAATAACTCAATCATAAGTGCATATGGAATCGTAATGGTAACAATCACTGTTGCCTTTTAGTGATTCTATTAGTGGTGCATTTGCACAATCTTATTCATGAATTTACTTATGATTGTACCGCCCCCTTTCTTGAGTTCCTCGTAAATACATAATTTATCTTGTAATGATACTGTAGAAAAGCTGGTAAAGCATCCAGTGTACAGCGAGGTCATTAGAAATCAGACGAAAATAGTGACCCCTGTACCACAATAATATGAATGCAAACTTTATTAGCAGATAACTCAATCATAAGTTCACATGGAATCGTACTGGTAACAATAACTGTTGAATTCAGTGATTTTACTAGTGGTGCATTTGCACAATCTAATTCATAAATTAACTTCTCATTGTACCGCCCTTCTTCTTGAGTTCCTTGTAAATACAAAATATATCATCCTTTTTTGTTAAGTCGTTGGTTTTCTTCGGTTGCTTAATTTTTTTGATTTTTCTACATCGTTTCCTCACTAAATCCAGTACAATACGTCTCTGACATTTCTCATATAACAATACGATCGAACTAAGGACAAATCCACTTAATAAAAATACAAATAGTGGGGCAACCTTAGTAAAACCGAAGGATGTAAATAAACCCCCTTCTTTAATACGAATAGTGCAAAAAGTTTCCTTCCATGCTCGAGATATTATTCCATTCTCTCGAAACTTCTGTATGCTGAAAACAAATAATGTTTCAATACTAAGACAATGGTTTTTACTTGAAATACTAACTGATGATTTAAAAATTAAAGAAGTGGATCTCCTTTAATCAAAGCTATACCTTTTTTTCTGGAATTACCTAGTGGAATAGCTAAGATTTCACAATGGAAATGAACAGTTCCGGATTTCCGTTATACCAGAAATTATAAAAAAAATTTCGAATGATTTCTGTGCCGATAAGTAATCGATTTTTATTCATTAACTCTTTATAGCTTTCAAAAATTTTTAAAATTTCTGTAATTTGGTAAGCTTGACTTACACTTACACATGGACACACATTCACGTGAGCGCGCCCACACACTTACATATATTAATCACTTCCATAAAATTGATATCCATTTTAAAAATCTCTTTTTACTCAAGAATCGCAAATAAGTATCCCTCAACAAACAGTTTTACCACCATTTCAAGTAAAGTTACAAAATTGTATACGAATAAATGTAAGAAACAATTCTTATATATTATAGTGAAAGACATTACCTTGTTTAATGTTTTTAAAAACAACCAACACAGAAACTCAATATTTTACATCAGCTGCTTTGAAGCATCTTTTTGGGTCGTAGGTAGACTATTTTCATCCTGTAAAAACAATCTTAGTTCGTTGTTGATATTGTTCATTGAGCTCTGATAAAACGTCATAGGATAAGGTTTTTAAGTATAATGAAAATAATACTTTTGGTTGAAACTTGATTTAATTACTGAAAAGCACTTAAAATCATCAGAGTTTTTCAAAATCATTAGTTGATACGTTTCGTCCTCTAGAAATTCATGCACATTTCTAAATGGAATGTGTGGTATTAAAACTATAGCAAAGTTTGTAAAACAGCCTGCATACATTGAAATAATAATAAATGCTGTCAGATAAAGCGATAGCCTTGCCATTTTTGAAGATACGGAATTGATAACTGGTAACAATACCGTCGAAAAGCTGGTAAAGCATCCAGAGTACAGCGAGGTCATTAGAAATCAGATAAAAATAGTGACCCTTGTACCACAATAATATGAATGCAAACTTTATTAGCAGTTAACGCAATCATAAGTGCATATGGAATCGTACTGGTGACAATAACTGTTGCCTTTTAGTGATTCCACTAGTGGTGCATTTGCACAATCTAATTCATAAATTAACTTCTCATTGTACCGCCCCCTTTCTTGAGTTCCTTGAAAAAAAAAAATATATCTGGTAATGATACCGTAGCAAAGCTGGTAAAGCATCCAGCGTACAGCGAGGTCATTAGAAATCAGATGATTATAGTGACCCCTGTACCACAATAATATGAATGCAAACTTTATTAGCAGATAACTCAATCATAAGTGCATAAGGAATCGTAATGGTAACAATCACTGTTGCCTTTTAGTGATTCTACTAGTGGGGCATTTGCACAATCTAATTCATAAATTAACTTCTCATTGTACCGCCCCCCCTTTTTGAGTTCCTCGTAATCTTTTTTCTTTCGTTCCTCATAAATAATTTTAATGATTCGATGAAAAATGTTAATTTTGGAAATATCTCTAAAGTCAATTTAAGTTAATAAATTCATTTTGCTCCTTTGTAACCATTATAATTAAATAAGACAACATACACAATCAGTGGTATGGTGCGTCTTGATTATTTAAACATTTCACTAACGTTTCAAATATTATCGTATCTAAAAACATTTTAAAAATTGGTAAAAACTTCTTTTAATATAAAATATTGAAATATTCATCAATTAAAGAATGAAATATATCAGTCTTCAAACATTTACGTAAAGTCAGTAATGAGACAGTATACGAAGTGTTACATCGAGCATTACTTAATTTCAATAATTAACAAAACTGCCAATATTTTGACTTCATGCCGACGCCATCCTCTGGGCAACTATGCAAGTGTTAGGACACAACATAACACTGCAAGCGGAGCGATGAAAACTAATTGCATAATTAAAAATTTACAAAAATAATTAAGTGAACAATTTTTCATTAAAAATTAACATCATGGAATGTACGTAGGTAAAAAACAAAAGACTGTATATAATGCATTTACGTAAAGTATTAATTCTTTAAGATTAAATGAAGATGTTTACTGGTTGAAGTGGTTCTTGGAAATTCACTGACAAGATTTGCATTAAATTCAATTTTAAAAATGCTAGCTACAGCACCCATGCCATTTGTCACACCATTGTCATTAAACATAGAAGTGGGATCAGCTGATAATAATAATGTTCCCACACACCCAATAATCAGTTTAGAAGCCTCATCTATTTCATGAAATGGGATTAAAGTAATATTCAATAAATAATGGCTCACCGTCATCATTAAAATATACGGAATATTTTACGAAGTCAGCTATTCAACAATAAGTTGGTCTAGCTCTTCTCGATACACTGACAGCATCTCTAACATTTTCACGGACGAAAACCCCAATCGGTACTCTATTTTTATCATAAAAAAGTTCTGCTTGTCAACTTTTTCTCACTCAACTAGGGACTCTAGGTTGTACTCTACTGTTAATTGGATAATTTCGCTTTCCATGTGGTTACTTTGTGTATTGTTTAGGGTGAGTCTGAGCAGTTTATTTTAAACAGGCGCTTTTCAATACGCAATTCAAACTAGGCAGTTTGTTAAAATATGGACTAACTGTCTTGGTGCTATAGTAGTATATACTAATCATAGTCTCCGCTACTTTCACGGGGCCTCCTTTTATAGATTTACCTGTTGTTGAGCAGTTTCAGTGACTTTATATTCGCGATTAATGCTTCAAACCTATCGTATGTGACATACGTAATGTGTAATATTAATGTGATAGTATTCCTTGATTGCTAATTTAATTACTCAAAATAAACACCTCTTTTAATCATTCAAAACAAAGTTTCATTTTGAAATGTTTCAATCATAAACAAAATTCTGAAACCTTCTGATGAAAATGTATATTGTTGTACAAAATTATAAAGGTATCAAAAATTTGTTAAATAGTTGTATAAAAAAATAAAAATTGTTTGTGTACTAATTAAATAAGTGCGTTCATATAGCTTACGACAATTTTTTTACGTTGTGTTCCATTTCTATAGTTTATGAAAAAAAAAAAAAAAAATTGTAAGAATATATAGTTGATAAGTAAAATAAATAAATATTTATGATTTTTTCACTTTACTGTTTTTTTCATACTTCCTTTCAACAAGTTAATGTATGTAAAAAAAAAAGTAATTACACAGTAATGAAACGTAAAAAACTCAAGAGATACAAAGTTATAGATGTATAGGTATAAAGATACATAAGAAATAAAAATGCAATGATGCATTACAAGATAAAAGTTGAAAAAGTAGAGCTTTAATATGATAAAGTTACGATTGTTTAGACTACTAATTATAGAATAATAAAACGCAGAGATAATAAGTACGATACATGTACAGATAAGTAGAGAAAAAAATGAAATATGTAAAATAGTACGAATTCAGAGACACTGTCAAGTTAAAATTAAAGAGGTAGATACTGATAACATAATCTAAAACTTAAAAAACTTAAGATCGTGGACTCATACATCAGTTAAAAATAAAATCATAATTTAATTGTTCTCTGTGAATGTTATATGTTACCATCTTTTACACGTTTGTATTCATCATCATTCCGCTTGAAACACTTGAATGAAAATTGATGGAACATTACTGAAAAAAAAAAAAAAATGCACAAGTAATTAATAAAAACTGTTTGTAGTCCGATCCTTGAGAAGGGATGATTCCACCGAATCGGCACGCGCCGGCTTGTTGCGCGACTTCGAGCCCACGACGGAATACAGTAGCGGTGGGGGTGGCAGCGGTAGCACCGCAGTTGGATCTCACTCGTACACCAACGACAATTACGGAGCCAACTATAATAGCTTCGTCCATGACGGTAGATACCACACCGAGGACTACTCAGATTTCACGACGGATAATTTTAAGACGTTTTCGGGCAGTAGCAGTCGGGTGGGTCCTCCGCCGAGAGGCTTGTTTGATGACATTTGAGAAATCGCGTGAAAGAGTCCAGCGAGTCATGCTTGCCAAGCAAAAAGTGTCTCTATTGTCAGACCACTAATTGTTTTCCGTGACAATGATTTATGCATGATTTTGATAAATTAATTTGCAATGACTGAAAATAAAAGATTATTCGTATTTGAATTTCCATGTGAAACTATTAACATTCGATCATTAATGGTTATTTAACAAATATATTAAAGGGGAAGATGAATGTCGACAATAACAACCATACATTGTTGATAAATGTTGTTGAAAAATGTGTTTGAGATGTTATAAAGCATTTATTAGTCCTGAATCCTACCGTTATATAAATATTAATAATCTTTACTATCAGTGCTGATTTTTAATTATGTTTTTAATTTTACTGTGGAAAAATTATAAAATTTATATGTGATGTAATTAAAATGTAGATCAAAATTTTTGCTTAATTAAATTAAGTTTTATGTTAAATTAAATAGAAATATTGTTTAAAAGCAAGTCAAATGGAATCTGGTTGATAAAGTATTCCACCAATGGATCCAGTCAATAACAAAATTTTTGTAGGAAAAAAAATTTTTATTCGTGAATTGTGCATAATCGTGTTAATGTTAAATAACTTGGTGTACTTTTAAGTTCTATGGTCCTTATTATTTAAGTAGGCTGTTAAATGTAAAATTTTTAAAACATCTAAATAATATAGTCGTTTAAATTTAATTTTATTAGTGTCTTTACAAAAACAATTATAAATATTACTATAAGTTATGTTGTGTCCAGAGATTTAATAAAATATAATCTAGCTCAGCAAAAATATTGGACATTTTTTTTCCAGAATGGTTTGTACAAACTTAAAATTTTTTGAAACATTTTATTACAGCTGCAGATATCTCATACATTTACATGTGTAAGAAAAAAGTCTCACACTGTTATCGAGACTAACGATGGCTATAATAGAACTTAAGAATTCTTGTGCGGTGCCCTGTTAAGCTTGGCCTTCGAGTCTAGATTAAAATTTTCATTCTCACGTTTAACAGGTAAATAAATAAAAAAAAAGAATTTTCGACTCTTAATGGAAAAAAAGTGCTAGCTCAGACATTAAAGAGCAAGTCCAGATTTTCAGTTAAAGGATTTAGATACTTTACAAATTACCTATCATACCTAAAATAATAATAATAATAAAAATTATATACTTGCCTCTAGCCCGTCGATATACAATGTTTTCAATTTTTACAAAGCTTTGTATTTAGTTTTTCGGTATCCTTACACTTAATAAAACAGATAATTTATAATAAATTTAATTTTTCTGTATTTACATTTATTTTTCTCTACATGAATATTTCGCCAAATTATTTTATTTTAAATATTTTAAATTGTTGCTGTTAGTTGTGATATTTTTTAGATTATGCGACCGACATGAGCCAAATTATTGAATAAAGAAACATCTCTTCGAGGCGAAATTTTAATTTTTTTCACCTTTAATAATACCACTGAATTCATGAATAAAAAATTTTGTACTCGTAACGTATCAACCACAAGTTAGATTGTTAGGAAAATTTTTCAAGTTGTTTTGACTTGTAATTTCAAAAATTTTTTTCGTAACATGAAATTATTTATTTGAAAAGGAAAAAAAATTTGGCCAACCAATAACCCAAACTATTTGTTAATTCAATATTAAATAAGATCTTTATATATTTTATACTTACTATAATTGTGTAAATCATTGTTTCGATCAAGCTTTCATATTAATTTTCGAATAAAACATAATCTTACATTTATTAATCGCCATTGACAACTTATAGTTGTTCAACTAAAATACAAATTTATTTATACTAAAAAAAAAAAGAAATCTTCAGTATTTATGGGTAGTTAGATCTATTAAAAAAAAAAACCAGTTTTACTTAAAATATTTTTTATACTTTATTTCACATATACATATTTTTTTCCGCAGACATAACATTGAATGTTTCACACTCAGTAGTAACAGTAAAATATATCTTTAATATGGGTTACCTATAAAACAAGTATTCATGTTATTTTAACTCAAAATTTGATGATACAACACTAATTTGAGTGCTATAACAAAAACAAGATCACATGATTTATTGATTTTTTTTTTCTAATTAAAATTTTTTATATACACAGTTCGTGTGATTATAAAATTTTCAACGGTATTAAGCTAACATTTAACAAGATTTTCAGTTCATAAAACTTAAAATGAATAATTTTACAGCTTAGTAAATTATAAAACATCAAATGTATGAACGTCATATTCATATATCTGTCGTAAAATCTAATTGATAAAAAAAAATACATGAAACCATAAATCCATGGGTGCTTTTTTAAAAATCATGTGATCTTGATTACCATTTATATTTGTCAACAATACACTGATTTTCAACTCACCATATCATAAAAATTCTTGCAACGTTTAATGTTTCCAATTGTGCTCTTAAAATCTTTACATCATTAGGTGAACTTATATTCCAGCTAAAAAAATTATTGGGTTGTCACAGAGAAAACGAATAAGTTAGTTGAAGTAAAATCAATCTCAAATTCAAATTAACCGCAGTCTTTGCGATAACGGAAAGCGAAAATTCAATCGATCAATCATCTGTTGATCAAACCTCTTAAAATCTCGATCGAGCCTATAGCGACTCTCTATTCATACTTTCCTCCAAAAAATACCGACGTCTTTACGTTCGCAAGAGTAAAGACCTAAAAAAATATATGTTTTTCGACATAAAAGATTCGAATAAGTCGAATTCGTTGCACTCGCTCGCGTATAAACGCGCATCAAGCGAAGTAAACGACGTAAAAGGTTATGCTCATCAGTATAAAGAAAGCCACAGCGTAAGCCACGATGATTCTCGCGAGTTTGATCTGCTCAGAGTGCGCGAGACGCCTTTTAACGTTTCTCGCACTCCTGTCGGTCGTTCTGTCTATTGGCTGTACAAACAGAAGCGGCTCGAGCATCAGCAGACTTGTACAGTGATTTTGTTCGTTCTGCGCATCCTCCGCGATTCCTCCGACAGGGGAAGTTGTATCAGCCAGACCAGCAGTCCAGTTGCAAGTCACGAGTTCATAGTCGACGATATTGAGCTTGAAGTCGAGAGCCGCGCTGCCCTTGTTGTTCGACGCGCCTCTCTCGGATATTCGACTGTAACCTTTGTCCAGAAGCCGGCACCGGACGCCGGTCACTTTGCCGGTTTTATTGGCACTGCGAAACGATTGTCGCTGTGGACCATCTACGAGCACAATACTCGGCCAGAGACAGGACTTGAGATCGGCTTCGTCACCCAGCATGGGCCCAGCATTGTAGAATATGCCGGCAGCGTTGGGTTTTTCCAGCTTGTAGACCGGCATAAAGTCGGCCGGCTCGTCCTCGCTACTGCTTGGAACCGAGAACTTTGATACGACGCTCGCTCGGCTCGTCTGTAGCAGGTACCTTTCCTTGGCCAGGAGAGGCTGATTTCCGCGTATGTACCGGTCACTGTACACTGGACTGCTCACGTTGTATCTCGTTGACCACTCGGGTGAGCTCTCTAACTCAATCTCGCTGCTCGTCGGGTGCTCGATCGAACCGTTTAAGAGTAAAAGATCGGACGGGATGAAACGCTGGTGTTGAAATTGCTCGAAGAGAGAAGATAAGGATGAGGGACTGGGCGGTGGTGGGACATCTTCGAGGCTGTTTCGATGAAAGGATGCGTGTGTCTCCGTGTGCATGGGTAGTAGTTGATATTGGTGGCTAGAGGACTCGTCGCAACCGCTGCTGCTTCTGCTGGCTCTCCGGGTGCTCATTAAGAAGGCCAACTCGCGGCTCGCGGACGCGTCCTCGTGCTGATTGTCTAGGCTTATGGTGCAATGATCTAGGTGCGGGTGCTGATGGGATTGATGGCGAACACACGCGGAGTTGCATCAGTTTGTAAGAAGACCGAGCTCCTTTTTTAGACTGCTCAATTCGTGGAGGACCTGCAAATATCAAGTTGCTGATGAGTTAAACATGTCGCTAAAGTAATTATGGATTACTAGCTCTGTAATGATTACAATTTGCCCTAACTGACCGTAGAAACCACCGTGGGTGGTTTCATATCTTAAAAATATCCTTGGTCCTACCTACCTCGAGAATAGCCGAGGTACTCCAAGCCTGCGTGCGACAACTGTCGTGGCAGTACTCTCCATCGCGATTGGTGAGCTCGGGTAGACCACGCCAGTGGTTAGTAGAAGCTTCGGTAAGGTGTCTCGAGATAATAGTCTCCGTGGATGCGATAGTGCGCCTCAGCTCGGCCTCACCTCCAACGAGGGGGGCAAAGTGTAGCCTCGCTCGTAAGAAGTATCCAATCGGCCAGAGCCACTCGGGACCTTGGTGGTAGTTCCAGCCGTGGGCGAGCTTGGGGTCGTTCGAGTCGTTGGAGTTGTTGTAGAAACCATCGTAGGCCCAGTCTGCCGGGTCCAACGTTTTCATACCCAACGGCCCCAAAAGGATCTCCTCGGCCTTTTTCAAGGCCGTCCAGGCGTGTGCTGGATTGAACAGCTCAGGAGACTAAGCACGTGAGAAAATTCGGAAGCGATTAACTGTCTGCCTCCTACATGTATGAATCTAAATCGTTAGAGGGTGGAAAAATTACTCACAGCGACCATCGCCACTGGAAAGTTAGGCCTCAATTGGTAATCGGCCCATGGTTGTGAAGCTCCATGAGTGTCTTTATAAATTCCTCGGCGATGGATCAATTCCGGCTTCAAGTCATCTTCGGTCGGTTTTTCGTTTACGTAAAAGTACATTTCAAAGTTTTCCTTTATCCTGTCAGCCCACTGTTTGTAGCTCCAAGTGATTTCAACGCCTGTAACAATGCAGTTCGAAACAACGTTATGGAAAAAAGCTATTATTTTTGTATCACTTGGCGAATGAGTAGTAGCACTGGCATTTCTAACCATCCCGACTTTTTCGTTCCACTTTTCCGTAAGGGAAGAGGTTCTGTTTGTGCAGCTCTGCCAAAAACAGTAGTGTGCTGTGGCACAGACCCACGATTTCAACAGGGGAGCCGTCCCTGGGTGTGGCTGGTTTGCCCTTATTACCAGCCTTCTCGCTCGAGCCCATTTTGTCCATCCAAGTGCCGCAATTGGCATCACTGCCACCAAATACAAAACCCGTTTCTGGATGCACTCCAATCTGATTGTTGAATCCTCGGTCGGTCATGTGTTCGTCGATTCGCCGGCCGGCGTTACGCTCGCGGAAGCACAGGCCTTGAAAGTGTACCGACAGGGCTTCCTGCATCACGTCGTGGAGAGGCTGATCCTGTAACGGGAAATTCATTGTTTTTCATATCATTGCAAAAGAAGAATTTAAAAAGGTGTTTCAATTAAATCTCAAATAGAACGAACCACTTTGCCGGCTGGCAGTGCTGGGGAGTCATCCGTTGGGTACAGTCTAGATACTTTGTCCGACAAAATGTTAATACCGTCGGGAACTTCTTTTACGTAACATTGAATGGTGTACAACCACCACCAAACGGCATCTCGACAATTGTATCTGAAAATTTCGTTATTATTACCATATACTTACAACCAAATGCATCACGAATTTGTGTTTCACAATGAAAAACCATCTGACAAGTACCTAGCGTTGATTCCTTTATCCAAGAGATTTGGGATCAGTCCGTGACGTAACGTGCCTGCAAAGCCCAAAATAATGAATCGAGCCTCCTCGTGTCTGTCTGTGAGGAGAAACAAGCCACGGAGGGCTATGAAGGTATCTCTTCCCCAATTGCGCATGTATCCCACCGTAAAGTGAGGCAGTCCAGCAGAGAGCGTCAGACACTCTTGCTCTTGTTTGCCATCGATTTCACAAACTTTTGGTTTCGGTGGATCCAAATTCGGCGACAATTCCGGCAGCTGTGCGGATTTCACAATACCACCCACTTGCAAGGAAACAAGTGACAGAAGTCTCGTAAAATCGGTGCCTTCCCTCACGAAACTAAAGAAACCTTTGATTATTTAACGATGCTCGAAACCACTTGGGTATCTATGTGGATACATATCAAATGTTTCGCGATACATACTCTGACATCGAAGCGAAACAGTGTTCGATTAGGATGAAATATACGTTAACAATCATCACATCGAAGTAACTTGGCACCAAGTAACGAGGAATCAACTTGAACGGCTCCGAAGCCTGCTCTAGCCATTCACTTAGAGCGAACGTGCCTTCGTTCTCTCTGAGCCGTTGCCAAGTATAATCTGAAATTAACATGTTTAATGTTTCGAGTACACTGTATCGTCGCGCTTAATGAATCGAGATACGCTATATGAGAACGTACCAATCAACCAATTGCCTTGGCGAAGATTGGCGCACAGAGGATGGCCAAGATCATTGTGAGCTCTTATGTCGGCGAGTAGCGATATAACACCTGATAACGAATGTATTTATTTACGCATCACACCTGATATGAAAAAAATTGAAAACTAAAATAAAACTACCTTGTATTCCGGCATAAACCAATGGCCCGTAGCCAGGTATTGCGTAAACGCCGAATTTGTTGGCAGTTTCGTCTCGCTCTTCTTCATCGCATCGATAAAGCGCTCGGTTGAGATCGGCAAAACTCATCCGGGACACGATTGAGCGCAAATCCGAGTTATCGGTGGACGTAAGACTGTGTATGAGGTCGTTCATCTTATCGAGAGCTGGCTTTGTATTCGCGTGGAGTGACACTCTGAAAACGTTAGGAATCGGATTATTGGTAAATTTCACTCGCAAGTAGGTACAAGAAGAAATTGTGATCTGTATGTTTTACCTGATGGCTATCACAGAGCCAGGTTGGAAGTTGACAAAGTTCAACTGCGTGATTTTTGGATCTCCGGAATCGACTTTCTCCACAATGCTGGAATCACAAACCTGAATGTGCTCGCGAACACTGACTTTGTACTCGGAGTAACCATTAATGTATTCCTTGCTCTTGACAAACTTTTCCGGATGACGAAAGGGTGAGACGCCATTTCTGAAACAGTGAGTTGTACGTTGAATTCTTTTTTTTTTTTTTTTTTTCTTACGAAGAATAATACACGCAATTTTCATAAATAACGTATTCATTACTTGACCCCCTCATGTACCAAAGTGGATTCAAGAATGATTTCCTCGATCACACCTTCGACCCTCAGGGGTCGGACGTGTCTCCTCAAATCCGTCGCATTTGGATCTGGATGTTGAAAAGCCGTAAATGCAACAAGTACAACGCTCTGGTGAGTCGTGGGCGAGTGTCTCGTGACAGCAACGATATCGACGTCCATTTGATCGACAAAGACCTCAAGTGGTGAACAAAATATTTTTCCTCAAATGCAATCGAAACGAAGTTAATGTGTGAACATGTTGCAATAAACCTTTACTCACCTGCGGGAAGTTATTTTTTCCAAGCCAGAAGTGCAAATCATTGAAAGCCTTTTTAGCTTTTATAATACCCGAGTTCGCGCTCACGTACTTGACGTTTTCCACCGCCAATTTTTCGTCATCCGTCCACGACGTGTACTGCCTATCCTCGTCAACAACGTGGATCTGCAATAATGAAAATCATAAGCCACATACTTAAAAAAAAAAAAAAAAAAAAAAAAACGAGTAGTCCTATTACATGATGAGGAACAAGTTCATCGTATCCGCGGTTGCTGCCACTGGCACAACAGGCCATGGACACCAGCGCGGCGCTGGGCATCAAATCAAATAGACTACGCTTTTCCACAGGGCTCGGGTTATCGTGGGTTTGATCGAGAAACAGAGCGTGCGCTATACTCGGCACCAAAGGCCGGTGCCGCGATTGGATGAATGCGCCGACCGGCTCGCCTCCGTACCGGTAAACCAAGCGGCCCTCTTCGTGACTGTCCCACGCTGACATGGCCTCTACAATAAGTACACATTTTATTCTCTAGTGTGGAAAGCTTTCGAAAATATATTCTTAAATTTCTAGCGACTTTTACCTCTGATCAGCGACGTGATTCCAAGCCGGTTGACGAATATATTGTCCTTTTGATCTGAATTCGTGAAGAGCTCGGCAACGACGAACAAATCGGGCTTGACTGCTCTGGCGGCATCCAACAAGTACTGAAACAACATTGAACACATCGTCGAGCCACTCTTAATCAAGATAGGGGAGAAAAAATTTTTTTTGTTCACCTCTGCAACCGGAATAGGCGTGGAGTGGCAATTGTCGAGTCTGACGCCATCAAAAATTTTTGCCATTTGCTGGACGTACTTTGTCATACGTTGCCAAAGAGCCGGACAATCTTCTGGCTTGTCACCGTATCTGGGAGACAAAGAAGCCGTTTGACCACGTACGATACGATTAAAAGAGAGAAAGAAAAAAAAAACAATTACCTCAACTTCACGCTGTCAGCCCACGCTATCAGCTCTCTCCGAGTGTAAACGTGGGAGTCGGGATCGGCAAAGTTTTTCAGCGGGTCGCTGTTCATGACCCACCCATTGTGAGCCATCAAGTAGCAACTTTTGTCCGAGAACATGATCTCCTCTCTTTCGACAAACGACCGGGGAGTACCATAATCCGTGAAGTACCTACGAAATCGACGTCAATTTTAATAATTTACTCCAAACCGACACGTGATTGCTTCGATACCTCGGCACGAGGGGACTCCTCTCGCTGATTTCCTTCAGCCTCGGTCCATCCGCTTGCACTCGGAAGTATCGTATTCCAGCAATGGAGTTTTCCACAGCAGCGTTGAGATTGTTTCGCACCTCGTTGGCAATGGCATCGTTGAGCTCTTGAAGTTTACTCCTGAGTTCTTCGGCGCACTTTTTCAGTCGGCTATCCTCGTCGAAACAGTCAGCCCTGAAACGTGAAAAAACCCACGTACATCCCAGCCGTCCACAACGAGATCAAAAAAGTACCCTAGTCTTACCGGTAAGTGTTGTAAAGCTTCAGGGCCAGGTGCATGTCTATGCTGGACTTCAGCCTGCGATACTCGGGGTCCCTGAGGACCGAGATACTTTTGTCCTTGAGGAGCGCGGCCTCGTCTTCGGGAATTTGGCCACGAGCAATGTTCAGAAACTCGGCTACGATTTCGTCAACGTCCACGACGAACAGCTCCTGAATCTTCGCCAGCGGCAGGAAGTAAGTGTGCAAGGCGTGCCGTATCGACTGCGGGAGATTTTTCATTTGATTGAAAATGAGCTTTGGCGCGGGAAAAGTAAGTATCGCAAAAACACCACGTACGTTCAAGTGATCCTCGGTTTCGACGATGGACGGAATGCCCCGGTTTTCCCACTCGCCCGCGGCAACCTGCACGGTCATCTCGAACAAGATGGCGTCCAAGAGGTACGCCGGCCGGAGGTGGGGCGAGTTGGCGCAGTTGTACGTGCACTCGGGATTGTTCGTCAGGAACGGGCTCTCGTTTGCCGTGTGGTTCAGCACGATGTCGCAGATACTCAGTACCTATACATGCGAGAACAGAAACCTTATTGAAAATAATATCGTCTCATGGAAACAAGGAATGACTCGCTTGCCTTCCATTCTTGGCGCATTTTCTTTATCAACTTTTCCACATCTTCGAATGTCGTCTCCCTACTCGGCTCGTGGAACGAGGGATTGAGCTTCAACTGGTCACTCAGACTGTACGCTGATTTGGATCCTCCGAGTGCCTGGGGAAGAAAAAAAAATCTTAGTAAATCGCTCTGTACAGTACAAATGAAACCAAAATCCGTGGAAAATCCATTACCTGCACTGGTGTGAAGTGAATCATGTTGTACCCAGCCTCGTAAGAGACTCTCAGCTTGTCTTCCCAAGTGGAGAAGGGTCCCATCAGCTTGGAAAGTACGGTGTGGCATTGTAGGCAGTCCAGCGGCAGAGGCTCCTTGTCCGCGCCCACCGTTAGCTCGGGATCGACGAGCAGGTAACCCGACGCGACGACTTTTCCAGCCTTTTCGTCTTCACTGTGCGTGAAATTTATGTTTTCCAGCCAAACATTATTTAATCATTGCTGTTTTTTTTTAAATATGTATATACAACTAAATAAATTCAGTACAATAGAACTCTACGTATTTACAAAAACATTAATCTGTACAAAAATGCACGCACTCGATGCAAAAAATTCTTTATCTTTTACCACAATACAGTTCAACTCTCCAAATGGAGTATTTACGTTTTTAACATAATAATATCCACACAAGCTCATCTCTTACAGAGTTTTTTTATTTATTCTATTTTTATGTATCTCGTTTATAATATTTGTTTTGGATTAATTAATAATTGGGTTGGCAACATTAAATATTAAATCTTAAATTACTCGAGATACTCGGATGAACACTATACTGTACTAAAAAAATTGAGCTATGGCACTGATAGGTGATGGAAAAACATTTATAAAAAAGCCATTGAGGTAAGTACTAAAAAAAAGTTGTTGCAAGGAATCGAACGCGACTCTTTTTATTACTTTAGAGCAAAGCTTAAAACTTGTGCCATACCGATAATTCTTTAAATTACATTGGTAACAATTGGGTATTTCACGATTTCAAATAAAAAAAGCTGCTCAAAAAATTAATGTGTAGCACATGATGCTTATACAGTGTCTGTGTGCGAAAAATCTCATATCATTGCGTTGTTTTATGAAAACTATACAAATAGTAAAAAAAAGAAAAAAAAAAAAATCGAACCTCGTCTCAGCAATGTAATAGTGAAAAGAGCCGGCCAGTAGAGTGCGCAAAAAAGCGGACTCGTGGTTCCAGGGCAGAGGATAGTAGGTGCACCTCTCAAACGGACTGCCGCTCATCGGAGGATGGTTCGTGAAAACGGTCACGCTGCGCCCAAGGAGCGAGGCTCCCAGCCTGAACTCGACGATCCATCCTGCAGTTTTTTTTTTTTATTTTATTGCAAAATGATGGCTTTACAGAGGTGATTGGGCGTACGTGGGTACCTTTTTTGAGCTTAAACAACGTGCCGTCTTGGTGTTCTCCCTTGTTCAGCGTCAGAACCCGTACTTGGTCGTCGTTTTGCGTGTCCGCGGAGAAGCCGAGGTTTTCCATGCTGCTCTTTTTCGGCTGGGTTCACAAAAGAAACTTTGATTAGAAAAAATTTTTTGCATGATTTTCTTTTTTTTTTTTTTTTTGTGGACAACACGTATTCAGTGTAGGACAGTGGGATTTTTACAGTGTCAGCGCAAAAAGCTCTTAACAAAAATAACATGCGAGGGCTAGAGTTGAATTTGGATTTTTGGATTAGTCGTTCGGTAAGGTTTTTTTCTTATACAGTACAAACAAATATGTCAAGTTTTGTAGTATAAAATGTAAAAGGTCACGAAAAAAGCTATGGTTAAGTGAAAATGCTGAGTTTGTACAAATTCTGAGAATTTCAGGCTATTGTTTTTTTGTACAGTACATAAACAAAAAAAAAAGCTTTTTTAGTAAACTATAGCTACAATCGGCAGTGTAACAATTTAAAATATTCATCGGATTAGAAGCCGAAAAAAAGTGCGTTAAAACGGGGAAAAACGAATCTATCGAAAATCAAGACATCAAAGACTATACGTTTAAAAACGTTCCATGTGCAAAAAGTAACAACAATCAGCAAGCAGATGTGCGTATACTCGTAGTTTTAAGCAAAACGAAACTTTATACTCGTGTAAAAGTACCTGCAGCGGTAGGTAGACGACGGACTCGCGCAAAGCAATAAACGAGCCGGCGGCTTTTGTACCGGCATATATAACTTACCGGCCGCAATGACGGGCCAAGCGAGCCGTTTCGTAAAGCATCGCGTTACGTCTACCCCCCCCCCTTCCTCTTTACTTAAGCTCCCCCACCCGGGAATCTAGTCTTTCTGCTCTAGGAGTCAGCGACAAAAGGTGGCCCCCTTTTTGCCAGGGTTGCGCGAAATTTTTGTAATCCTCACTTTACTCGGAAACTGTGGCTGTAGTATTGTGTTCCGTCGCTCTCGATGTTTTGTTTTTTTTTTTTTCTTTTTATTTTGACGGCAAGTCTTTAGTGCACGCTATATAATATCTAGTACTTGGGAATCAGCTTCCCGACGCCATGCCTTTCAACAGTCTGATGAGTCGCTGTTGTGCCACCCGCGGATTTTAACATTTACTTTACTGTGGACTTAACTGGTCGAGCTGTAGAAAAATTTTTAATTTATTTTTTTGTTTTACGTTTAAGCAATGAGACTTTCCACACTAATTTTTTTAACTGTAGGAGGATTACAAACATTTTTTAATAAAAGTATTTATTAAAATAACTGATAGGTCGTTTTACAAAGACTTTACTACTTTACATCTCAAACATCAAAGAAAAAGAAAAATTTGTTTCATTTCGCGTTAGAATCTTTTTGTTAATAAGAAAATGTGGTTTTTCTAAGAAATTTACATGTTTCAAAATAAAATATACTGTTTTACACATATGTATGTGTAAGAAGCAAAAAGAACCAGGTGATTTCACTGTGTTTAAAAATAACGGTAAAGTCGGGGGCTCAACAATTTTCAGTTCTTTTGGACCATAAATAACTTGGGAAAAAAATTATTAAAAAATTTTTCACGCCAAATTTTGGTAATTTTACTCCACATATCAAAGTATTGCATCTTTACTAAGATTTGAAGAAAAAATACGACAAAGGTTTTTTATGAAAGTTTGTAGCTTACAGACAATCTTTGAAAATAAAGACTTTAACCACACAAGTACAGAATATTTTTCGTTGTAACTCTGGAAAGTTTTTTTTTTTTTTTTTTACTTCTTTGGCGATTTCACAGGAATTTCCAATAAATAATTGTGTTTGTTTACACGTTAAAATTAAAAAAATTTCCATGTGTAATCGTTTGGAAAGTAAAAAAAAGCTTTGCAGAATTAAAATCGAACGAGAATCAAATTGGTATAAAAGACAACACACAGAGAATGTTGGGTGATTTAGTCACTTGACGAATTTTAAACACAAATTTATCAACATTTACTTGGTATATGTATATACTTAGGTGAGAAATTACTTCGATCAACGTAACTGTAATTAATTGGGAAACCGTGAGTTTGATTGCTTCTTGACGGCGAAACTGTAATTGACAAAATGTTGACTGTGACAAAAGGCTTGAACTAAACGCATGTACTTATGCTACTAGCAATAATTCGTGATTAATATTTTTCAGTCAATAAGATTCAATGTGACTGGCTTACTGGAACTTACGTAAGACAACAATAAGGTCAAGCATCGTTGAAAGAAGTTCCCTATCTTCCTTAATAGTTCTCTTGTAGAGTCACGAATCGCATCACGTAATGCTGTCATTGCATTTATTGATAACTTAACAATTCAAACAAAATTCACCCAACAAATTGCACTCGATTTTTTGTGTGTATATTTTTTTTATTATTTTATTTTTTAACTCTTTTTCTTTACATCTCTTGTCGCCTATTACCTATAAAAAAAAGAAAAAAAAGTACAAACAAATTAAAAAACACAAACACAGTGCAGCACAATATTAGTAAACAATGAAAATCGAGTTTTTTAAAAATTTAATTCATTTATTTAAAAATTTATTATTACAAAATACACATAGATTCAAAATATAAATTAAAACACTGAAATCTTTATAGGAATACAAATACAAAATATAAGAGTTTAGTTACAACACAAGAAAATTATTACATTAATACATTTGTATTAACAGATTTTTGATTGCTATTTTTTTTTATTATTACTCATTGAATTATTGATTGAATAATGCATCAAGTACTGATTTTGAATACCACTAAGATTGTCTCATATAACTCGTTTCTCAATTATATTACAGATTAAAGGTATTAAATAATCTCTCAAGATTAGATACAGTAAAAATTTCTTGTTTGACAAGTAAATTGAAGTAACTTCAGATCATGAGTATATTTACAAGCCTACTGAAATCTTAAAAAATATAAAACTGATATTTGTTTATTATTCTTGCTTTTAATTTAAATTTGTTATGATGGTTAAATGTCTGAAGTAAAAATAATAGTATTATATTTACAAGACTACTACAGTGAGTTTTGTCAGTTGGTAGTATGTAGATGTGACATAGATTATGTCATGCAACAATAAGATCACGAATTAAAAAATTTCCTTCTCATGCAGTAAAGTTTTGGCAATTATTATTGGTGCATAGAGCATATCTAAGCAAAATATCAAACCATTGAAAACAATAACAGCGTACAACTGGAAAGACAAAATTAACTTAAAAACCAAGAATTAAACGACCAATCAGAAGTGACCACTGTTGTGGAAGTCTGTTGGTAAAAAAATCCAGGCAAAACGAGTAAAGTATGTTATAATACAATGTTATTAATTTTGAAGGCCACTTTTAGGTTAATCGATAAGCCAAATACATGCTGGAAGCTGGAAGATCACACACACAACTTGCTTCATTAATTTTTTGAACGGTCGGCCTGACACGCGAGAGGCACATGCGATACAAATAGTGGACTATAATGTGTTAATATCTCCCCTTCATAGACTTAATTTATCATGAACGAGAGTAAACCAAGGCAAAATATAACAAACAGACATGACAGATGTATCTTAAAAAAGATCACTCTATACCGATCGTGTATGTATTTATGCTTGTACAGTTAGAAAAAACAATTTGCGATAAGTAGCCACTTTTTTACGTAATTGTTGTTTGGTAACACTAGTCGTTGTTGTTGATGTCCACGAGTTGGTGGTATAGTAGAGGGTAACTTTTTCTTCTCGTATTCGTAAGGTCGTTGTCATTTATTATTATGTTAATTTTTTTTTATTTATCGAGTACAAAAAAATTAGTTAATTTAGCAGCACACACACATAGCACGAGCACTTGATATGATGATGACAACAACACAGACTTTTTTTTATGATTTCTATTATACATACGTACAATTTACACGGCACTGTCAAACATACCCTAATTCGTCGAATTGATTTCTCTAGTGATATTCACCTGCTGTACCTACTTTGTTTATTTCGAATTTGACCTCTAGCCAAATGTCACGAACAATATATTATATACATGAAGGTCATTGTTGTATATATATATATATCACATGCAGCGTCGTCTGTTTGTTTTGTTCCAATGAGCAGACGACACAAAAACGTGACACAAAAGGAAAAAAAAGTGTGCGAAATTCAAATATCATGTGCGCTATCCCCGAAAACGAAATATTCCATGGATTTGTCTCCGACTATAGCAAAGGTAAAACAAGACATATGAATTTGCTGTTCTTGCATTAGCTGTAATTTGTTTTTAACGAGACTACTTTTTCGTACACCTGTTGTACGGCTCTTGTACATAATGGACATTATTGTTATAGGGCTTGCACGTACGTGAGTTTTTACTTTGTCGAAAGTGTGAAAACAGAATAATTAGTTATTACACTTATAAATTAACGTACAATCAATTAGTTGTGTTTGATTGATTCGGGATGAGTAAACAAAGTTACCAAATAGCTAGTGGAACTGTATAAAGGTACCTTTCATTTTAAATTACTTTCATATCCATAAAATACGTCATATAACTTTTTTTTCTTCGTATCAAATTTTAGTTGACTTTGAGCAGAGATGACTGCTTTGAGTCTGCTAATTTGCTAAGTAAATAATCAGTTATTTCATATTTTTAGGTGATTTGAGGATTATGACAGGATGCGTTAAACAGATGCAACAATTACCAAATAAATAACGAAGAAGGAGCTACATAATGTTCCTGTGTCAAAAATGTGGATGTGACGTGAATGGAAGAGAAACGCATATCAGTACTATATATATGCCTTTTGTGAATGATGTTGGATGTTTTTGTGAGCTCGTAAAGCTTTTATCATCGACTATTGATTGAAAAAAAGTACATTGTTAATAACCATAATGGAGATCAAAACATTACAAAATTTGTTGAACATTTCGTTTGAGTTGTCTTAAATTTTAATTATAATTTTAAGTGAATTGTTTGATAAAAAAATTTCGTCTCATAAAAAACTTAATCAGCTTTATTATGCATTGTATTTAGTAATTATTTATAAATATGTGATAGAACAACGAATACATATAGTTTTTTTTTAAACACTGCAAGATACACTCCACATTTACATAATTATCATATAAGAATGTAAGCAGGACATACTATAATGTCTTTTAGCACCTTTGTCACAATACGCCTACTTTTTGTTGTATTTATTTTATTTTGTTAGTATTGTATATATATTTTATTTAATCCCTTCGTCCCTCCCCGATCCCCGACCACAGTTGTGCCCCCCTTCTCACTTCCTCCCATATGACAGCTACATATATAGCTGTTATATATGCGTCTGCAGTTTCGTGTGTGTTGTCTATACAGTTTTAGCTGACGCTATATAAGTTGGCAAAGTTTTATATTACTTAGGTATATTTGTGTTTTTCCTTGGTGATACCTGTATATTGTGTTAATAAACATTTGTTGCTGGCAATACGCCGGTAATTTTATTGTTGCTGTAATGGAAGCTATGGATACAGCCCAGCCGATGGATGAAAAAAGTTGCGTTTTGTTGTCACTCTTTGTTGCATCCCTTTAAAATTGCTTAGAGGTTTTGATGATTAATTATACTTTCATGCTTGTTTATTATAAAATCTCAAGTTTCTTTTTACAATTATTTTTGTTTGGTTTACTGGTAGAGTAAGAATCTACAAAATAGAAAAATTAAACAGTTGAAGTAAATCGTTTTTGATGATTTGTTTTATTATTATTTTTTTCTTTTAATGATAATCAGGCATTCATTTGGTTTTATATGGTGCCTAATCTTAAAAATATTAAAAATATTACGAATTTCAATGAATGATATGTTAAAAAAAAATCCATCTATAATTGTACTGATAATTCCCAGGATTGTATTTCAACACAATACGGAGCATCAATCTAATTCTAAATTGAAAGATGCACAACATGGAAAATCATCGTAGTTTCCAAATCATTGCAAATTATAATTAACAATGTAATTCAAACAGATTTTATCTACAAATACTCAAGAATTTATTTAGATTTTTTCATTGTTGAAAAAAAATTTTGATGTGTCATGTAACCTCAAAGCAATATATTATTTCTTGCACAATCATCATGTGTCGAATTAAAAAAAAAAAGAATCAGAGATTAATACTTGATCAAAATTCAGTGTGACCAACAAATTGTTTAAAATATGTTTTCAGTTTTGTTGGAGCGAGTATTCCTTCGCTTAGGTTCAGCAGAAACAGATGAGCAATTACAAGCAGCAATATGCAAGTTTTTGCCTCCAGTTTTATTAAAACTCTCGAGTTCTCAAGAAGAAGTCAGGAAAAAGGTCATGGAGCTTTTGATGCACATTAACAAAAGAGTCAAAAGCAGATCTCAAGTGCAACTACCTGTGGAGGCACTTTTATTGCAGTATCAAGATCCTGCAGCCAGTACATTTGTAATTGTGAGTGGAGTTTAGAATTTCTAATACTTATCGTTTTGTTCATCACAAAGTTCATTTTTGTTTCTACATTCCTCACTAGAATTTCACTATCATCTACATTAAACTTGGTTTTCCCCGAATGGAAATCAGTAAGCAGGCTGAACTGATTCCCACTGTGTTAAGTGCTATTCGTGGAAAACCGTTGTCACATCAGGATAGGTATGCATCTTAATTTATGGTTAAAAAACGTGTTATTGAGAGTTTCATGAAATTATTTTCTTTTTCAGTTTAATGCTATTGATTATGCCAGCTCTAGCCCATGTGAATATACCAATGGATCCTGAAAAAAGAGCTTCCCTTTTAGGTTTACAGGATAATCCTCAAATGACAAAACAACTTCTCAATTTCATGCTGGACATGTTGCTTCTACCATATGGGTAAATCATTGAAATTTGCACGGTTTTCGGAATAAGTTGTGAAAATTAAATATTTTGTATTGTTGAGAGCAGTGCAATTGTGCAAAATGAAGAACAAAAGTCGGGACAGCCTATCGACTGGTCGAAACATCCGGTTCCACCAGGTCTGAGCGAATACGCTTTCAAGCGGGTCATAGGGGAAAGTCCGCTTTCAGGAGATCAGCTTGAACAGACCAAACTGGGAATCATCAAGTTCCTGATCGGAGGATTTTTTCCGGACTCGGAAATCCTTACGCACTTGATTGTTGCTGCAGCTGATACTCGCTTTAGCGTCACTAACTTGGCAGATACGGAATTGAAGAAGATAGCTAGGTGATTTACTTTTTGGTGATAAACGCTCAATTTTTATTAATTTCACTGTAACTGTACATTTTATTATAGCTTATTAGACTGGTCTTCAATGCAGCTGGCTGTACCCCTGTATAACTTGTTTTTAGGCACAGATGCCTTAGGGATGCAGAAGGAAATGAAACAAGAGTTCAAGAGAACGCCGGCTGGTATTAGAGTTCGACTGAAATTGTTGTATTATTTGGGACGAGTGACGAAGGATGGTTTTATTATACCTCCTTGCATTCAGGTAAAGAATTTTAAAGATACATTTTGTTTTTTGAACTACTTTTACATTTGTACTATTTAACATTTCTTAGGTCATATTTGAGTCGTTGTATGGTACAAACAATACTAATTCAAAGCTCAAAAGCTTAGCCCTTCAGTTCACATCAAATCTTGTACAACAGTAAGCAATCAGGCAAATCTAACAAGAATCTTGCATCATTTGATGTATTAATGTTATCTTTTACAAATAACGTTTAAACAAAATCACAGGTGCAGTTCGGTGCCTTTAACTCGGGTGGCAAAAGTTATATTGAATGGGATGATAAAGCAAATCAAAGAGGATATCGAGCCTGCTCACAGAATGATGGCATATACGATCATTGGCCAGTTGGGGCGTCGGATTCCTACCCTCGTTAACAAAGATTTAAGTCTCTTGCAAAGTTTCTTTGATACGCTTGCCTCGGTATGTTTACAGTGTTATAGTGAACGAAATTGAGCCACCACAATTTATTCAATGCTGTTTACTTATCTTAAATGTTCTTCAATGATACAGACTGATGGTGATTTACGGCGTACCATAAGGGATGCCATGGTCAATATGACAACTGCATTCGTACTTAAGAAGGACGACGATACCAGCATTTCACTGATGGTCGCGCTGCTGGCTTCTCATATAGAATCTCCTGAAGCTTACGTCAGGTAAAAATAATATGTATTACATACCACTCGGTGTATTTAATGCGATTTATCCTGTTAACATAATTGAAACAAATGAATAAACAATGATTGATTCGTAGATTCGTTGCGGTGCATTATTCAGCGACAGTTTTTCCATCGGACCACGCACCATCAAGATACTTGTTGCTGCTGGCGTCCGGTGACTCGAAGCAAGAAGTACAAACAGAAGCCCTCAAATCCCTCTATGGAACTTCCTACAAGAATGAACGCTCCAAGTACTTTGCTAAGGAAGTAGTATTGCCCGATTTTCCGCAACTTATGTCGTACATCTACTCGCAGGTTCAAACAAGGCTCACTGGTAATCTCAAAATAACTGTTGGAAACAAAGTTTTGCCCTTCAACATTGTAACTTTTGCCGAGGTACGAAAATGTTCTTTGAATTCTCGAACAGTCACTACTCGATTATACTTTTTAATGCGTGAATTATTAAATTGCAGGTGATATCGTACCTTAGAATATGTCTCGCAAAAAGTTCCAACATTACAGTTCACATTGATTCCTTGGAGCATCCCAGCGAATTTACTCCCCTGATTGGGCGTTACTTGGAAAAATTACACGAGGAGAACCCGGATAGCCTGTATCATTACGTAGACATCGTTGTTCTCTTTGGACAGGTCACTGGAGGTGAGCTTTACACCTCTTTTTCTCATTAAATTGAAATAATATATAAACCATATCCGGTTATTTCAGACGAAGTGGCTCTGAGTGCCCTTCTTGAAGTTTTCGGAACAATACCGGATCACGTTGTCGAGCGCTACTCCAAAGAACAGTCATGGATACAGGGCTTGCTGTCGACGTCAAAGGAGTACGTGAAAAATCTTGCAGCAAAAATTTACGCGATTTTTCTGGCTTACGCTCCGATCGACGAGTTTGCATCCCAGATTGCCAAAGTACTCAAAACCACTAAAGACAAAGTCCTGGAAAATCAGCACGGAGCAATATTGGCTTTATCATACGCGATGGAAAGAAAAATTGCATTGACCAAGAGTGAAGACATAAAGCAATTGATCGCTTTGAATACGTATGTCGACACTGTTCAGGCTATATGTAAGTTTATCAACTCTATCTGAATGGCAGGGCTCATCGATGCTTTGATTAAAGTACTTTGTGTTTATTGATTAGGCGATTTCCTCAATTCGAGTAGCCCAGTGTTACTTGTAGCTGCCATCAATAGTATTGGAGTTATAGGTAAATCATGTGAATTACCTTTAGCATCTGAAGGTGAAGATTGTTGGAGCAAGAAGAGCGTGACTGAAAAACTTATATCACTCTACACAAACGCCAAATCTAATCCTAAGGTTCACATTCATCCCTAGACACTTTTTTGAAATATAACTTTTGTACGTACACTTTTTAATACATATGTATATACTTGAATATTGTAGGTCAAAGAAATGGCTGCTCTGACTTTGGGCTATATTTGTATCGGAGAAGAATTTCCACATGCACAATTGATAATTGAAAAATTCATTGAGACCGCTAGCGAGGTAATTTTTTTTTTTTCTTATACAATTATTTCTACTTATCCATATTTTTCGCAACATTTAGTAATCCTTTCAGACAAAAGACATCAACATTCACATTTCCATTGGCGAGGCGCTAGTATACTGCGTTCAAGGTCCCGCTTCACCGGAAGCGAGGGACGCTTGGAAGATACTCCCTTCCGAGCATAACGTTCCTTATTCAGACAAAAGCAATGCTTTGCTGGTATCTGTCATCGATGAATTACTTTCAATCGCTGATAAACCGCATCCTAATTCGAGACAGGTACAATACGAGTAGAATAAAATGTTCCACTATATTTGACAAATAAATAAATCATTTCAGGCTGTTTGCACTTGGTTATTGACTATATTGAGGTGCAATGTCAAAAGGCCATGTATTACTAAGAAACTGTTTGCCATTCATAATGCTTTCTTGGATTTCTTGTATGAAAATAATGGTAAGTTTAAACCAAGATGTCGATGAAAATTTCAAAGTCCACTATGCAGTTGCTTACTGAACCATTATATTTTCAGAAATTGTTCAAGTGATGGCATCTAATTGTTTATTCTTGTTGTTTTGCAACTGTCCAGAAAGCGATAAGCCAGAACTGGTTTCTGCTTTGAAAAATCGTCTACTTTATGGAAGAAAAACTCTTGCCAAAGTAGTTGATAATAGTCAGCCATCTAAAGATACCAAATCGAAAACAGATGGGTAAAGGAAAAATTACTTAAAAAAGCTTATACATAAAATTTATTTTAGTCTTTCATTAATAATTTTTTTGCACAAATATTCTGATACTGCTTACACAATTGTTAAATAATTGATGTCTCGAATTTTTTACTTTCATTTTTCAGGAAAAATGACGATCCAAAAGAGGAAGAATCTGAAAAAACTTTCGTTGGGTAAGACTTTGTGTGAATTTACTGGATTATTAATTCTGTAAAATAAAAATAACGTGTAAGTTTTAAATTTCAAAACAGAGGAAGTGCAACAACGTACAGAGAAATGTGTTCGCTGGCCAGTGCTCTGAACAAACCAGAATTGACGTATCACTTTGCTCATTTGGCTAATTATAATCCCATCTGGACGTCCAAAAAAATGGCCACCTTTGGTTTTTCACAGATCGATTCTGTGGTCATAAAGGATCTTGAACCTTACATCAATAAAGTCATACCTCACTTGTACAGGTATCAATTCGATCCTGTACCAAAATCCCAACAGAGTTTCTCAAGCATCTGGCGCATACTAGTTCCATCGACCATCAAAACTGTAAGTTGATTTTTCAATGAATCAGCAATGAGCTATGGTTTTTTTTATTTCTCTTGCAAACTTTTATATTTTCGTTTTCGTTTGTAGCTCGAAGAACATCACCAGGAAATATTGGAGGATATCATAAAAAATATGACCAACATACAATTCCGTGTACGTATAAGCTGCTGCTTAGCCCTGGCAGATTTACTGAAAACTTCCAACACGCTTTCAATAGACTACGCCAAATACGCTCCAAAATTGTGGAGAGAGTTGTTCCGCGTGATGGACGATGTTCACACTGATACAAGACAAGAAGCTACGAATACCGCCAAAATTCTCGGTCGGGTAAGTGTTGGAAGAAAAAAACAACAAATTTTATCCATTCGGTTTTTGGATGGTATAAAAGCATTTCCACAAATTTTCTCGGCACAGGTTTGTGTCCGTCAGTGCGATTCGTCCCACGGCAAGGCTGGTGAAGAAACACTCCAAACGGTACTGCCCGTTCTCCTGGACGAAGGCATCACGCACTCCGTAACCGAGATACGACTAGTTTCTTTACAAACTATTTCTCAGCTCGTGGCTATAGCTGGTCATCACCTGAAGCCCTCGTTGCCGAACTTGATTCCGGCGCTTCTGCACTCTATAGGCGATGCAGAAAACGAAAAAATCATGCATGTTCGGAACATCGTCGCCAATTCTCTCGAGCTGCAAGACAAAATGGACGAGTTGACCGATCAATTGACCAAGAATCATTTGTCCACCCACCTGATGATCAAGGTAGGCCATACGGTTGTTTGGATATGGAGAAAAACCATATGCATATGGGGAAAAATAAAATTTTTTGTTTGATTTCTAGTGCATACAGTACATTGATGAAGATACTTTAAAACAACTGATGCCGAAAGTCATTGAAATGGTCAAATCAAATATCAAGTTGGGAATGAAATTTGCCTGTACGAATTTTCTCGTGAAACTTAGCAGCCACATGAAACTCGAGTTGCAGCCCTACTCCGGTGAGAGAAATTTCCTCTCGGGTTCAATCGTTTTTACTAAAGAGTTTTATATTCTCAGGTAAAATACTCATGGCACTGGTTAATGGTCTAAATGATCGCAACGCCGGAGTAAGGAAAAATTATGCAGTGACTATTGGTCACATCATTGGTTGTGCTAAAGAATCTAGTCAAGACAAACTATTCAAATTGTTAAATACTTGGTATATTGAACGGGAAGGTTTGTACACACACATGTATTTCAATATTTTAAATAAAATTCACACATTAAAAATTTTTTTATTTAAACAGAAGACTCGATGCGTTTGGCAATCGGCCAGACTCTCCAGTCTATCAACAACCATAATCAAGACATTTTAAAAAAGTACTCGGACATTGTGATGCCGTTAGCATTTTTTGCAATGCACGAGGAAAAGATTCCCGAGGTCAATGTTAAAACCATCGAGCTCTGGACCGATTTGTGGTCGGAAATAACTCCTGGAACCGAGGCTGGTGTTAGACAAAATTTGGCAGCAATCACAAGCATGTTGAGGCAAGCACTCGAATCTTCGTCTTGGAAAACAAAGGCTCAAGCAGCTAATGCAGTCTCTTCTCTAGCGACTAAATTGGGCTCTACCATTGACGAAGATGCTAGAAATTTGCTTTTGAATATACTCGTCAATGGGCTGCAGGGTAGGACATGGAATGGCAAAGAGAAGTTGCTTGTTGCCCTTTCAACTCTTTCTTGTAACAGCAAGTAAGTCATGCTGAGTTTGTTGGGTAACGTTTGATATTAAGGATTACAAAAAAAAAAAAAAAAAACTTTTTCAGAGAGGCTTTGAGAAAAGATCCAAATTTGAGAGACACAATTGTAGAAGCTCTTCTCAAAGAAAGTAAAAAGGAAGGTATTGAGTATCGCCGTTATGCCTTAAAAGCCTTAACTGATGTTCTTCATGAATTGGAAGAGGATAGGTTTAAGCAAGTTTACGAGATCGCGTTAGATGTTTTACCAAAAGTAATTTTTTGTGTACAATTAAAAATTTTTCATGTAAAAACAGATAAGCAAATTTTACTCTTTTTTATTTACGCAGTTGACAAAAAAAGGTGAAAATGACGACGACGACTCTATGGAAGAAAACAAAAAAAAGCGTGAAGATAAATTAAAGTTGCAGGAAACAATCTACGAAGGCCTTGGCAAAGCGTGGCCAACCTCTAAAGAGACTCAGGGTATGCTTAATTTTTTTATAAGTAAAAATGTATTACTATTAAATTCTAATCTCAAATGTGTTGTAGATCAGTATTGCTTGCAGTTTATTAGCCACTGCTTAGAAACCTTACCAACAAGTACGAGGCCTGTGCAAGTGATGATATTATCATCTGTAAATCGTTTTGTGGACAAATTAGTTTTACTAAAAACTGATTACAATCGTATGTTAGAAGCGGACAGAGAGCTGTTGGAATCGGTTTGTGGAAACTTATTGAAAATCTTGAGATATTCCATAGGTATGTAAATGAATACATTATTTTTTATTGACTCAGTATTTGTTAAAATATTAACGAGTTTGATATTCCAGGTATAGCAAAATACACTAGAATAAGAAAAGAAGCTTTGAATATTGTGATATCTTTATCGAGAAAACTCAAAGAGATCCAAAGCAATAAACAATTGAATTCATTAATTGCCTTGATGAAAGACGTGATGTCTGATTTATGCAAGGATAATCAACCAGAAATTCGTTCAAGAATTATGGATATTAAGGATATGCTAAAATTGTAAAGAAAAAATTTCATTTAATTTAAAAAAATGGGTACAAATCAATTTCAAAACTGTGCCGCTATCAAAAATAAATTTTTATAAAGTAATACCTTTTTACGTCTTAATTTTGATTTCACTATATTCTACAGAGTCGCATTCAAGTTCATTTAAATATTACAAAAAGATTTCTATGACGTAATATTCAATAATTATTTAATTCAAAAATAGATTTTCAATTCAAAGGTAAAAAAAAATCAGTTTTCTTCATGATTTTTATCAACTCACATATATTTTCGCTAATAAAATTCAAATTGTATTTACACTTGAAAATAATAATACAATGAGTTGTGCTGGAAAAATCGCTGAGTTATACAAATTTAATCCTTAAGATGAAAACAACAATCACTGAATTGATTAGATAAAAAATTTACTGGGACTCCAGCTTTTTTAACAATATCGATGCCCCTTTGCCCATACTTTCACTAATCTGCTGCTTCTTCAGCATCGACTTTACTTTGGAAACAACATCTTCTGGCTCATTTTCTATCAACAGTACAAGCAAGAAACAGCCTCTGTTGAATTTAATCCAGTGTTTAATGGCTTTGTCAGTCCAATATTGAACAAGTACTTCACCAAAAGTGAGCTCGTTGTTTGCGCAGCGCTTGGCATCCATCTGTATAAGTTTCTTTAGGATCATGTGCAGTCCTGCATCTTCAATAGCTATGACGGACTTGTCGTCTTTTTGTAGCTTAGATTCGGGATCGCATATAAAGTGTGTAACAGCTTCGAACGCTGCTTCTGGTTTGTCACCACTGCAGGCATTCAAAATAGCGAGAGTGACAATTTGAATGGGTCCATTATTCAACCACATCTTAACGTCCGATGATATGCTTTGTAATAGGTGGTCGATCACGTTGTCAAAGATTTCCTTCTGTCGAAGATCCGCTGGCTTTTTGCTTGTCTCGTTGCCATCGCCCATCTTTAAGGATTCGATCAAGGCAGGGTGAAAGTAATGCGTATCTCTTCTAGCAACGAGATAAAGAATAACCCGTCTACCGAATTCGGAAACAACGATTTCGTTCAAGTTGTTGAGTATCTCCTGCAGTATGATTTTTTTCAAAAGGACCGTGTCGTCTATGGTATCTAGAAGACACAAAATCATCAAGAAGCCGTGCTCCGACGTTGCGATCTTTGTCACGTGCTCCTTGAGAGATTTCATGATCTGCTTTCTCTCTTTGTTGGTTGCGGACCAAATACTCATGTTAGCAGTCAAGGTTCCATCTTTGGTTTGTGAAAGCTCTGCAACCAAAGGTCTGGCCAGTGCGAGTATTTCATCTTTGTCCTCTTTGGAGCAATTGGTCAAGAACTCGTACATTACAGTGTGAACGAGCGTTGAGTTGATTAGATTCTTATTGAGGATTTTAATCAAATTACTTTTGACTGTAGAAAAAGTGATCGACTTCATGCTCTCTGCATTCTTGTAGACATCTGTTAGGCATTTAATATTCGGATCCTTAGAATTTTTGTAGATGTCCATATAAAATTCTTGCCTCAACAAGCATTTTTCAGCTTCAGAAGCAACTTCGACATAAATTTTCTCTATTATGCCAGAAGGTAAAACGCTGTTCAACAATTTTACAACATTACCGTAACAAGCTTCCAAGATTAATTTTTTGACACTGTCAGATCCTACTCTCAGCAATGTTTTTATCACATTTCTAGCATATTTTGCCAGTAACATGGCTTTTAGATTTGGTTGCAATTCTTTAACTATAGCCAGCTGAATATCAGGGTTGCAATACTTTAGGTGCCATTGAATTACTCTGGCCCCATCATGAGTGTATATCAATTTTTCATACTGATTTTGTACCAAATCATGAAAATTTTTAGTCAGCTTTTCTTGTGCCTCTTTATTCAAGTTTCGATTCCTTAATTTTTCTCCTAATTTCTTTGCTTCCACTGCCATATCATATGTACCTTCAAATTTTTTCGCTCTTCGCATTTCCCTCATCTCTTTACACTGCTTCTTGTACTCAGGCCAGTTGGGCTTTTCTCCCGTGGTGTCTTCTTTTACACTTTCACTTTTTTTAAATCTTTTCAAGTCCATGTTTGGTTTACTTGGTATGGATGTCTTTGCAGCTTTAAATTTGTTGAATTTACTTTTACTTTTTACAGCATGAGATTTTTGGAACATTACGTTATTTTCTTTTTCTTCTTTCTTGACAGGTACACTTGGATTCTGAGATGTATTTTTGTTGGTAGGTGCACTCTTATTTGAGCCTTTATTTGCCATTTTGTTTTTTGATGCATTTTTATTTTTGGATGCAGTTTTACCTTTAGGCTTGCTTTTGAAGTTTTTTTGATTTTTTTTATTATTACCTTTAGACTTGAACTTTTTCTTGCCAGATTCGTCGCTGTGATCTCCTTTTTGCTTTTTTACCCTAAACTTTGCCATTGTTTTACCTGAAATGAAACAGCAAGTCAGTGAAATTAAACTACATAATTTATGCATAATACTACAGTTGTTTGTTCTCACAAAGTTTTTCAACAAGTTAAATAATTATAACATTTTCTTTTAAAATGCAACGAATTTTCGTACACTAAATACTTATAAAACCACCACAGCAAAAGATTAATAGCATAAAAAAAACATCAACTACTTAATGATCTCGCAAAAGCGTGTTGTAAATATCGATATTTATCGTAAAACATGATTTATAAGGATATTATTTCATACCTTTGAAATTAACAAATAAAAACACTAACGTAAGTATCAAACTTTTTTAAAATCCTTACGTTTATTTAAAAATGAAGCTTGGACACATGTACTTTTAACGACTGCCAACTAGCGGCTTTAAGGTTAGATTGTTTTTATGCACGTGTAATTATTTGTGTATTTATTTTTCACAATCAGCGCCATCTAGCGATAATCGATTTTTTCATTAATCGAAAAGTCCAAGAGGGCAATTAAGATCTCTGCATTGTCGTCGATATAGTAGAGATTCCGCTGACTCATTGTTGGCAGTCGGTATGATACGATCTTAACATTGATCCTTCTTCATCGACCGGTAGGCTAAAAAAATTAAATTTATTATTTTTGATTTTGATTTTTGAATTTTTTGATTTTAAANTATAAGCTCGGCTTCTTTTCAGCGATACATTTTCTGCTCTGCCTCTCTCGCGAGCGGCAGGTAGGATGAGGAATTTTTCACTTATTGCACGAGCATATAGATCTTCGTCATCGACTTTCGGGTATAAGCTCCGATTTTTTTTTTTTTGGGAGGAAGGGAGGAGTGTCTTTAAAGGGCGTTTACGGGTCGTGCTTTGCACTGTCTCATACGATCTTAACATTGATCCTTCTTCATCGACCGGTAGGCTAAAAAAATTAAATTTATTATTTTTGATTTTGATTTTTGAATTTTTTGATTTTAAATGATTTGTTAATTTGTTTTACCTTTGCCTTTGGACCACTTTTCGAAAAATGAAAAAAGTTGTCACTAGATGGTGCTGATGCACATAATTTACTTTTTTCATTTTACTTACAAACTACCCGATTGAAAAGTGACATCAGGGAGTGGTCAAGCCCAAAAACGGCTTATTTATTTATTTATTTTGTTTTGTTTTCCCATTCACATATAAGCACTAGAAAAGGAAAATTTTTGGCTTCAGCGACTGTGTGCGTGTACATACATATTATTATATACTGCAATCACACACACATGTATTCTCAAGGTTTCATCGACTATAACTTTAAGCGACTTGACAGTTAAATAGATAATATCAGGAAAACAAAACAATATGTTATGATTCCATTGATAAAATACCACTTGGGTCCACCCTGTGTTAAAAAAGTATTTCTTTTTTTCTCTTATAGAACACAATGTTCATCTACATTCGGAATATATAATTATGTACTCCGAAAGCAAAATTTTGTAAATTTACGGAAACCTCAAACTGGAACTTTGTTGGAATAAATCCTCGTATTTTCGCACCGCACATCTAATTATTGATGGGAAGTTCGCTTGGCTCTTAAACTAAAACGAAAAAAAAAAAAAAAAAAAAAAACCAGACGGAAAGTTACAAGTGATCGCAAATGAACCCACAGAGTCGAAGAACTACGTACATGTCTTAAAAATATGTTATTTTAGTCATTCAGAACGAAGTACTTAGCAAAATTATCCCATAAGGCAATAAGCAAGTGAGCAAAACAGGTGATTCTGGTTAAATACCTCCAATCGAGTTGTGAAAAAAAAAAAAAAAAAAAAAAAAAAAAAAAAAAAAAAAAAAAAANAAAAAAAAAGAAACCAAGAAAAAAAAAGTGAGCTGTGGAAGAGTGGAAGTAACGACATAAACACACAGAGATAAACACACCCAAAGAAGGACAGAAGAAAGGGAGCTACGAGAGAAATAAGAAGAGACGAACAGAAGCGGAAAAGGAGGGAGGGAGCTTGCAAGCGCGGTAGGGGCAAAGGTAGGAAATAATATAAGTGAGAGCGGCTGGTTTATCATCGGGATCGGGTCCGAATTGCATGCAACAACAACAACAACAACAACAACAACACACAGAAGCAGCTATACAAGTCGTCGTCGTCGTCGTTGGAGGAAGGGAGGGGGGTGGAGGCGGTGCGCGTTTATATAGCTTTCAAGCGCAGGAGCTTAATCTAATTTCAAATATAAATCTGCCGCTTTATTCTCTCTCTCTTTCTCTCTTCTCTTGCTCTGGCTGTGCTGTGTGTGCTGGGTTATACCACGAGTTTTATCGTGTATGATGTACACCCGGGGGAGAAAAGCTCTCGAGAGCTCTGCGTACGTATATATATGCCTACGAATAATATCCCGGCAGTCCTTTTCGCGTTGTACAAACGACCTCCCGCTCTCGCAGCAGTTGCTGCCGTGCATTAGAGCTGCAATATATTAATGTGCATGTACGAAAGTGTTGAGAGAGGAAGTATATAAAAGAACAGAGGTAGGCACTCTATATGTATACGGAGCGTATATAGAAGGGGGATGGAAGTTGAAGCTTGCGAAGAGAGGAATATATTTTATATGTAGGTTTATTGCAATGACAAGCTCGGGACGCCGGTGATCGCGTCTATGACGTTGTTTTGTCTGTATATGACTGATAAGTTGTCGCGGTATTGTTGCTGATAAAAATTACTTACATCCGGTGGTGTGATTATCTTTTTTTTCTCTTCTTATAAATTTTTCTTCACGAAAAAATGTAGCCGAAAAATTAATTATTTCTTTTTTTTTTCTTTTTCTGTAAAAAATAAAAATACAATAATACATAGGAGTGTTAAAAAAAGTGTGTTTGTTGTAGCATTATCAAGGTCCTACAGCAATTCTTGTGTTACTTGGTTGTATTGAATACACAAAAGGCATAAATGTACGGTGAACTTGATTTCAACTAACTGAACAATTTAAATTCTAATGAAATTAAGAACATTGCATACATAGTCGAGAATATCGAACATTAGTGTATAAGATGACTTGATTGAAATTCATTCGAATATTTATGAAAATGAAATGAAAACTCCAATTGCATATACGTAGAAAATACAAACTGATCGTGAATCATTGTAACGATAAAAAATTGAATCAAATACACTTATCAAGGAACAAAATCCATTATTATCATCACCTATATCAAACAAAAGAGTCACGTGGTCCCTCGAAAACTCCTTATGATCCCCCATTTAAGGATACCATTATTCTCCAATCTCCCGAAGAGGAGAGACAAGAAAATAATACGCTACTCCTGAGAAACTTTCGACGCTATTGGAACGCGCGCGCGGACGACGCACCCTTGCTTTATTGTACACATATACATAAAATTAATATCTCTCATTTGTCCGCTGCGGATGCGTTTTTTCAGTTACACGGTACACGTACAGCCCCCCCATCTTCCTTCATATGAAAAAAAAAAAAAAAAAAAAAAAAAAAAAAAAAAAAAAAAAAAAAAACGGGGGAGAAAGGAGTTTAAAGAGGGGTAAGTGCGCAACGCACACTCGCGCGCGCGCAGAGGGGGTTAACGCCCCTGAGAAACGAGTGAGAGCCCTTCAGTTTGTCATAACATTTTGCCCACCCATGTATATACGTACACATGCATGTCCCTCTGCTCTCTTTTGCTCTCGTTTATACCTACTGGAGGGTATATTACGTATTGATAGGTGGTAATAAATTATAAGCTCGGCTTCTTTTCAGCGATACATTTTCTGCTCTGCCTCTCTCGCGAGCGGCAGGTAGGATGAGGAATTTTTCACTTATTGCACGAGCATATAGATCTTCGTCATCGACTTTCGGGTATAAGCTCCGATTTTTTTTTTTTAGGGAGGAAGGGAGGAGTGTCTTTAAAGGGCGTTTACGGGTCGTGCTTTGCACTGTCTCTCGTGGTCTTGTCGTTACACTTATACGATGATCTGCGATGTGAGTTATGGGCATCGTTGTTTGGTTTTGACGTTCGATCTTTCTTTTTTCTTCTTTTTCCTTCGTATTCAAATAATATATTTATCGGAGGATTTGTTTATTCATGCGTAAAATGTGTGCGCATGAGATTTATTAAACGTGGGAATGACGTTTATAAAATGAAAATGACCAATTAATTGTGTACCTGTATACGAATTATGCTTTTATACATATCTTTAAATACAGCAGTGAGTTTCAAGTTTATTTATTTATTTATTTATTTATTTTTTTTTTTAATTTTGAAAAGCAATATTAACATAGACAGGTTTTGGTTCCCTAGAGCAATTTTTTATCATTTCTGTCGTATAATTAATGTTTCGTCCGTACAAGCTGACTTTATTTAAAAATCTATTCATAGCTGATTGCGTTTTTTACTACTCCATTACTGACTTTGTATTTTTGATGAAGCAATGTAAATAAATAAATAAATTTTAATCACACCTGCATAGATTACATTTTTTTTAGTACACGGACGTGTTTAACGCTCTTTCCGATCAGATGAGCAAAACACATTTAAATAGAATTAGACTAAAATTCTCTACAATACCAATAATTACTTTACTACAAGCTAGATAGGATTACTAATAATGACACATAATAATTAAGTGCTTTTTTTATCATTTAAGTTGAAATAGATCTTAACCAAATATTATTCATGGACCAAACATCAAACAGAATTTATTAGTGGTAAATAATTTTTTGGACGATTAAGCAACACTTTGATTATTATGTATTGAAAAACTTTTTTTTTTTCATGTAGCATCACCACGTAGTCACATCAACTGCACGAAATAATAATAATAAAAAAAAAAAAAAAAAAAAAAAAACTACCAATCATGAATTTCCATGTATCACGGATAACTATCCCTTTTCGTATAAGACATGGCTCCCAAAAACAACCGTAAAATATGTAACGTAAGCCGCAGTAACTTTCGTAATCATGAAAAAGTGTTGGCTATCAATCAACGTCAAAACAGAAAACGAAAAAGGATAAAACCTCAAGCCACCCCGAACGAAAGAGATACAGTTAAAGGATATAAATACAATCGCGTCAAGGGCGATGGACACCGTTGATAATCGCCTCGTGACCGCGTGTCTTTTATATATATATATGTACAATATTAGGATCGCTCATTATTAAACCTACCCTTCTGTCTCTCTCTTGTTTCGCCTGTATGCCCTGTACATAGGGGTATTGAAAAAAAAAAAAAAAAAAAAAAAAGTCACTTAATCCGGGCTACAGTCAGCCTATTGGTCGAGAAAAAAAGTGTCGGGAGGGGGGTGGTCGTGTAATACGAGGTATATGTACAGCTCCGGGCCATTGTTCGATGAAATTTCGCGCCCCACCGGCTCAA